CTGTGTGTCCTGCAATTCACATCTCATAGTAATAAAAACAAAAGCAGGGCCCAGTCTTGCCGAAGAGGAGACATTCCCCAAATCCAGGCACTGCTACTGGTAACCCATCAGCCTCTCTCCTGTTTTCTCAGCTCTCAGAACCCTAGGTAGACTCTGAGTGTTACTATGCCTGGCCCTTTCTCCCTTTGCTATGGTACTCTCTTAGTCAGTTTCTCAGCCCTCTTTGTTACTAGAGGTGATCATGTGACACAGTTCTGGCCAATAAGACAGAAGCAAAAGTCTGCTGGAGGGCTTCTGGGAAAATCTTGCTTTCTCAATAGAAAGATGTTACAGAAGAAGTTGGTTTTGCTGTCCCTTTCCTTCCTATTTGGGTTATTGGAAGTAGGATGCATTATTTGGTGTTGTGGTGTCCATTTTGTGCTATAAAGAGACACCAGGAACAAAAGCCAACAGGGGCAGTTAATGGAAAGTTAAAAATAACTCAAATCACAGATTTTCTGTGAGCCGTAGCACCAAGTATGAGATTACCTATCTGAAGATTAGGCACCTGAGACAGCTAAAGATCTTAATTTCTTCAGCTCCTAGGATATGGTTATTCTGCTACTTGCATCTGAACTCATGCAAGTGGATATACCTATTTTTGGCAGATCCTGAAACAACTTGGCCCTTATTTTTACCCATTCCTAGATGGTCACTGTTTTGCTTAATTTCTTTACTCACAAACACTGACAGGTAAACAAATAGTGAGGTTAAAAGTGAAGCCCGTGGCATCAGATAAACCTGGGTTTGTGATCCAACTCCAGCACCATAAGGTTGTATGACCTTGAGAAAACTTACTTACAAAGGGCTTACTCTTCAACTACAAAGTGAGGTAATATGAAATGGGGATAATAAAGAGATCTATTTCATAGGTCTATGATCATGTGGGTGAGGGACTTAGCACAGACTTGGCATTTAGAGTTATTATTACTGCTACTTCTAGGATGGATGCACATGCTTGGCCACAGAGGTCTTACTGTTCATTGCCAATTGATGTTCATGATTTTTGTCTACTTGATTTTTCCCCCAACTCTTGACGTGCTATTCTTCTGTTTTCCACTTTCTCCTCCATGGTAGAATCCATGAAGTCAAGCACCCAGCCCTGAGCTAAGTGCTAAGAGGGAGTGAAAGAAGCGTGGTCCATGGCTCTTTGCTAAAAGAAGGCTACTGCTTAGTCCAGAAGGTAATCTGACCATGAGCCACACTGAGTAAAAGAGTAGAGCAAGAAACACCTTAAGACAAGGTGTGCCACGTTTCCGTCTGGATCCCACCTGCAAGTCTAGAGCCATCTGGATGAGGAGGCTACATGAGAAAGTGGCTGGCTGATTGTAGGAGGGCATTGCAGACCTGGCCAGTTGAGGGGGCTGTTACCCGAACAACTTTGGGAGGGGATGTCATTATTAAGGATACAGAGCTAGAACCACAAGGAGATGCAGGTGGCAAACCAACAAGCAAACCAACTGCCATCTGGAGCTGTGTGCCAGGGCCTCGCACGGAGAGGGTTCAATAGTCTTAAAGAGCTGAATGGACAGGGAAATTACTGCCCAGTGAGCAGGAAGAACGGGTTTCTCCTCCTACCGTGATACCAAGCATCTGACCAATATGGGAGACAAAAACAAGATTTCTCTAAGATAAAAGTCAATAGGCCTAACCTACCCCCTAGATCTTTAAATCTCTCCACCCTTGGGCATGACAAAGGCTTACGAGACAATACCAACTGGGGTCATCAGAATGGGGAGTAGAGTGATAGTAAGTAAAATGAAGGCTGTGTTTGGAGCTGTCCATGAGTCAGGGGACAGGGAGGTGCCTAAGGATGCACGTTTTCTCCAGATTCAGCCTTGGATATGCCAACACCTGCCCTCGAAAGGGGCATGATACTGGGCAGTCCCAAACATGGAGTGTAAGGAAGGAGGCATCCTTGGCTTTGGCCGTTAAACATGCTGTATGGGCCAGTGCTGGTTTCAGGGCACAGGAGTGAGGGTTACTTTGACTTTGTGTAGCCTTGGCCTCAAGCTCTGCTGTTGGAAGTCCCTTTCTTCGGCCTGGATCCTACTGTTTGTGTTTTGAAGTATGGCTAACCTGAATGCCAGGGGCCAGAGTTAATATAAATACACAGAAGATACACATCCCAAATGCAAGAGAATTATGTGTGTGGTAGGAGTGTGTGAATTACTTATAGTGTCTTTACCATGACAAAAACTGAAGTGTCCAATTTGGTACAATTTAATCCCTTTGGCTTAGCTAAAATGCTGAGCTACTCTTTGCTTCTTAGCAACTCTCCCTTCTCATTGATTTGTTGATGTTCTTATTATTAAGAAATTTTGTTCTGCTTAAACTCTGTTAAAAGAATCTGGAATCCATGCGTCTCCCAAAGAAGACCAAGGGCTAACATTTTTCTTTGCTGCTTATTTCTATTTCTTCATAAAGTGAATTGGAGTCTACTTATAATAAGAATATGTGCTATGCGTTTTTTCTCTGATTTTTGTTTGTCTTTGCTTTTTTTAACTTATAAAAATGCTTTAGTTTTATATTTTTCAATCTCATTCATAATTTCTCCTAAAAACAGCTTTATAGAGATATAATTCACATATCATACAGTTTACCCATTTGAAGTACACATTACAGTGATTTTTCATTTATGATTTCTTTGGTAATATTTCTCTTTATTTTCAAAGAATTTGTACTTCATCTCCCTCTGCAGCTGAGTCATACTCTAGTCCAGGTGGTACCAAATTACAGCTGTCAATCAAATTTGGCCAGCTACCTGTTTTTGTAAATAACACACAGCCATGCTCTTTTATTTATTATTGTCCATGGCCCCTTTTGCGCAACAATTGCAGACTTGAGCAGTTATGACAGAGACCATATAGACTGCAAAGTCAAACATTTGCTATCTAACCTTCTATAGAAAAACTGCCAGCCCTACTTTTACCCACCGTCTAACACAACTTTAAAAGGTGGTCTTACCTAAGTGAATCTATCCTGAATGGCACTGTTTGATGGTGTGTGTGGCAAGAACCATGTTCATTCTTTTCTGCACCACTGCCTTCCTGATTCCACAAAATAGTCACACTGGTGTTCATCAACCCTCCAACCTGCATGGCTGTTCTTGTCCCTCTCTGTCCTGGACATACAGTTCAGCTCTGTTCCTTGATTACCATCCCTCTATATGTCACCCAAATCAGGAAGTCATGATTAAAAGTTTGAATGGATGGAAATAAGGGCAACAGCTTTATGTTGAAGACTAGACATCTAGCTCTGAAGATTCCTCTGGCACCCCAGTCCTGCCCTCACTAGGAAACCTCATTGGTCATCTTGCACTTTAGGACTTCAGAGAATTGCTTGACCCCATCACTTTCTCTCTACCTACCTTATATCTGAATCTCTTCACTTTTTCACAAAGAGCAATCATGTGTTCCACTCCTAGCTCCTGTGGTATACCTGTATATTCTCTAATACCAGTGTGTGCAAGTTATTGGGAAATAACTGGAAAGTGAGAAAGAACACTGTGATGTATGAGGAACCTGCTTTTCTAGGCTTCAGGAGACTTCAAGGAGGGACATCAATTAGTTGAACACATATGGCTTCTTTCCTTCCCTTATTTCCTCTCCCCCAAAGAGCAAGAATATCTTTTTTGATTGATAAAATTGGGTTAAAGACTAAGCACATTGCCTCTTCCTCAGTCTCTTCCTTCCAGACATAGCTGCCTGAAGCCTATGCTCTGGTCTTGCAGTTTGGTGAACACAATGTATGACTCACTCTCAGTCCATACAGCTTTTTTCAAGTTGGATTTTTTGGTTCAATTTAACAAGCAAAGTTATGAACACTGAGCAGATCTTTTTTATATAACTTTGCCGTTCAAGAAGTGGAAAGTTCAAACTTGGAGACATTCAACAACCAAGATATCACCATATATACTTTGGGCTTTGGCTAAAGATGTTAGACAACAAGTTGTACTTTTAGAAGAGCTTTTGAAGAACAAGCCTAAGTAAAGTGCCCAGTGGGGCAGCTCATGTCCATGTTTTGTACAATGTTTGTACAACTCTACATACTCTATTAGGCAAATTATTTATGCTTATTCCTTCAGAGCTCTTTAAAGATGTAAGTAGTTTGATTTTTTTTTCTCCAGATTTGATGACTGGTCACAGATCTCATCACATTCAATGGGCTTTTTCATGGCTTGTCAGTAGAAAATGGAACTACTCAAGGTGAGCATGATAACAAGACCTCTAAAAGGTCAAGTTCTGGTGCAGTGACAAATTCGTCATCATGGGCTTGTAGACCTTTTGATGTCCAAGGGATTGGGATCTATGGCACCAAACCAAAACCAAACTCCCCAATAGATCTGGGCCCCTCTAGGGATGACATCTGCTTTTACTCTTGCGAAATAACAGAAAGAGCATGAGAATGCAGACTGCTGGCTGAACACCTCCCTCAAGCCACCCCGTGGGATACTTAAAATTAATGATGAACTTGGTGAGACCAATGACAAAATTCAACCTTACAAGCAAATCTAATCATAAAACTCAGATGGACAAGTGAAATCAAACTCAAGAATCAGACCTCTCAACTGCCAAGTTTCTCTGCATTTAAACTGATCCCTGTGAATAAAATGAATGCTGAGTCCTTAGAGAAGAAAGGAATTTGAACACTGATTACACTGTAAGGAGAAAATTCTTTTAGAACTAAATGGAGGCATCTGTTTTGTTTAAATTAAGGGTCTGTAAGTACCAGCCAGGGACTGGGTTGACAGTGATTTCTGTAATAAAGTAATAAATCATGGGGACGGTTAGGGAAGCAAGAAACACCACATTCTTTCTTGCTTTGTTCAACCAATTAAGCAATAAGCCATCTGGGTACTTTTGTTAATTACCATCAAATACAACTAATGCGATTGAATTCAGCCTTTATTTAATTATATTAATTTATCCCGGCAACTTCAAATACCCATAATGCCAATGATAAAGTTCATTAAAAAAATAGAAGTCTTATTTAATTTTTATCCTTCAAACTCTTTACAAGTTTGTCATTTGAGAATTTTTAGCTCCATCTCAGACTTGGGATGTTAAGCAAATGTTTTAAATATAGATAGATCCGAAGCAAGAAGATGGTGGCTGAAATCTCTTCTCTAGCTGAGATGATTAATCTGTGCGGCAGTGTTTGTGATGATGAAATGTTCTATACTGCACTCTACCACACAGTAACTGTTTCCTACATATAACTATCGAGCCCTTAAGGTGGGGCCAGCACAATTGAGGAACTGCTTTAAATTTTCTCTGATTTTATAGGACTTCCATTAAATGTGCCACAGTTGGTTACTAGCTGCCTTATTAGACAGCAAAGATCTAGAATATATTCAAGGACAGAGAAATGAAGGTCACAGTGACATGGCAGGTGGGGAATGAATAAATACATCATTATGATAATTTATTATTTGAAACCCCACACTTTCTACCCACTTAAAAAAAAAAAAGATACTGTGTTCTGAAACAGCACACAAGAGATCAACATCTTTAAGGGGAGGTTTGTAAGCTTACCACGTAGAGAAATGACTCCATCTTGGAGAGAAATGGGCATGACTGCTATCTTCTCAGTAGCAGAACCAATCCCACTCAGCAACTCCTACAGCCAGCTAGATGGGCCAGATCACAGCAAGGACAGCCATTCAGCTCTTGCTGGCCTTGCATCTGCTCTAGTTAAGGCATATTCTTCCTGAACTTGAGAGCACTGAACCTGGAGGTACATTTAGACAGTTAGTATGGACCCACAGATGGCCGGCCCTCTCTGATCTCACAGATATTGAAATCCAACCTAGTTTTCTTTCTTAAGAATGACTCAGACTCTGACTGAGTTGTAAAGGTTGTTATTTCTTATTGATTCAATGCAAACCCTGTAACAAAGCATCATGAAAATCTCTTAACTGTAAATACCTTTATTAATGAGAATGCTCAGTCTGGTGAATCGTTCCAACACCAGTGACTAAAGAGAAATCTGTGGCAAGGAAATCTGGTTATGGTTAAGCAAGCTAGAGAAAGGTCCTTGAGGTCAGGTGAATGGAGGTAGAAAGTTTTAGGAATTCTCGTGAAATGAAAACATCTTATCCCAAATCTACGGACTCTTCAGCGGGCTAGGCTGAGCTGAAGAGTTGGGCCCATTCTCCCTTCATCTTGTCTCCAACCATACTGTGCTGCCCTTCCCTTCCTTCTGAGCTGTGGTTCAGCTAAAGAACATGAAATTTGTCCTAATAAACATAACCCAAACTTTTTGGGCTGTCAGACCATTACGTTCTCTTCATGGCTGGCCTTATAGACAATCCAAGTTGAGGCTCCTTGAAGACAATGCCATCCATCCAACGACTGAGGCGTCCTGGAGGGGCTGCCAGAAAATGTCCAGCCTCCTTCCCTAGTCAGAGTTAAAAGCAACTGTGCACTGCTCAGTGGAAAAATTAAAGATCTTCTTGCTAAATGATGATCATCTCTGAAGATGAAAACACAAGACAATGAATCGATTTTCTTCTTTTTTAAAACAGCCAGCAGTCAATGAAATAAGTTGTGAGGAGAGACATCCTACATTCTTTCCAAGAACTTTCTTCCCTCCTACACCAGGAGCCCAAACGCAGAAGGGTCTGCTTCAAGAAATTTAAATGCTCTTTAACTCCCTTGGGCCAGAACTGTGATAACCAAACTTCTCCTTTTCTTCTGACATTGGTGTTCATCGTTCATCCACAGGGTGAACTTCATCAAATTGCCATAGCTGGCTGGCTTTTCCATCACACTGACTCAAGAACAGATCTTTATTGTTCTGCTGAAGCACAGCTTCCATGCATTTCCCAGAAAGAACGTGGACAATCATTCCATTCTGAGAAGAGACGAGGGAGAAAAATGGAAGAATTTAACAGAAAGAACGTGGACAATCATTCCATTCTGAGAAGAGACGAGGGAGAAAAATGGAAGAATTTTAAAAAAAAAGAAAAGAAAAAAAAGAAAACGAAGGAAAGCAAAGTCAGGCCAGTTCCAAAAGTCAGCAAAGATGGATGGATTTGTGCTGATTGTTAAGACTATAACAGAAGTGGTGTAAAGCAGCTCAGAAAGGAGTGGTAGTATTTTGGATTAATATAAAATATAATTTAAGTAGCCCTAAAATTTGGATGTCACTCAAAGCCTTAAGGATCATTAATCCAGTTAACTTTATTGCAGTTGTATAACTGTACCATTTCTTAGGAAGTTTTGGTTAGGATAATTCCAGGAAGAGAGAATATTCAGTCCTTCTGCTTTCTTTGTGATATTCGTGGTTATCATTGTACTTGGAAATTTTTGCTGTCAAAAAGATTTAGTGGGATCTCTGCAATTTATTGCTACAGCCACCAGGCTGCAGTTGGAGAGTAAGACTCACAGGATATACAAGAATGGAGGCCTAGACCAGAGTGTTCGGGAGACTACGACTGCTGCCTGCTCAAAATCCATCAGATTTAATATTGAACACAATATTCCCTTTTCAAGAAAATTTTTATTTCTTTAGGAAATTAACCCTAGCCAGCAAAGCTGAACATGTATCTATTTTTGAGATATACTATAATATAGGTCTTTTAAAATATAAAAACTCATGGTTTCTAGTCTATTTACAAAGTTGTGTAACTACTGTTGATCTAATTCCAGGCTATTTTCATTACTGTCAAAAGAAATGCACTACCCATTAGCAGTCACTCCCCATTTTTCCCTCTTCTCAGCCACTAAAGTTCACTATTTTCTGTGTCTATCGATCTGCCTATTCTGGACACTTCATATAAATAATTATAGAATATATGGCTTTTTATAACCAGCTTCTTTCATTCTGCATAATATTTTCAAGATCATACATGTCACAGCATAAATTAGCACCTGAAACCTTCCTTCTTTCCTTTTATAATGGCAAAAGCACAATAAAACTTATTGCCTTAACCATTTTTAAGTGTAAAGTGTAATAGTGTTAAATATATAGACAGTATTGTAAAACAGACTTCTGGAACTTTTTCATTGTACAAAACTGAAATTCTATACCCATTAAACAATAATTTTCTCTTTTCTTTCAACTGGCCCATGGCAGCCACCAGCCTATTTCCTGTTTCTATGAGTATGACTGCTTTAGATACTCCTGTAAGTTTTTGTCTTTTTGTAACTGGCTTATTTCCACCTAGTGTAACATCCTCAAGATTCAACCACATTGTAGCATATGACAAAATTTCCTTCCTTTTAAAGGCTGAATAATATTTCATTATATGGCATTACTTCCAAGAGGTAAGTTATCCTTGCCTAAATAATACACATTACACTTAGAATAAATGTGTGTCCATATTGTATCTATGCATACATGGACATTTGAGTTTATTACAACTCCAGGATGTTATAAATGGTGTCACTATGAACAGTACTTCATTCCTTTATCTGTATGAATGATACCTTTTTTCTTTTCAGACAGGGTCTTACTATGTAGCTCATAGTGGCCTGGAACTCACTATGTAGCCCAGGCTGCCCTTGAACTCTCAGTGATCCTCCTGCTTCAGCCTTCTGAGTACTGGGATTACACGTGTGCACCACCATACCCAGCATGATAATACCTTTTTAGTCTCATTTCTTAATGCCTCAGATTTGCTAGGTGCGTCTTACTAATCTTTTTCAAAGTATTTTATTTTTATTAGTACATGTTTGCAGGACACAATGATTACATTTCTTACAGGGAGTTGGTACATATACCTAACGCATCTTAATTCCTCTTTATTGTCTTCCCCTTCCCTCTCTTTTCCCCTCCCTCCATCTCTTGGTCCCCTTCCCTTTTCTTTTACCTATTTTCAACTACTGTTTCTAAAATGTAGCTTAACCACAGAGCTTTCTTAGAGTGATCTTGTATGGTCACCCCAAAAGCACCTCGATTTTTGGAGACTTCTTGGCACAAGTGTGGGCCCCTGAGTCTTGGGTTTGCATGTCACTGAAGTCCTGAGAACTTTATTGTGAGCTCAGCTTGTTTTCTGTTATGTGATTCTCTTCTTTTAGGGTCTGCTTTAAGAGTATGAGTTCTGCTTAGTTATTCTGTCCTCTTTACTCCAAGCAAAAGTTGAAGGAAGAATTTTATATTTGTTTGGACAGTAAAGCCTGCACTCAATCCAGAAAGGATTTGAGGAGAAAAGCTGTACACGGACACTCACTGTGGATCCTGTCCAGTTCCTTCCCTACTCCTGCGTGTGGGACTGGCTCACTCTCCCCAAGTACTTACGGCTCTCCTAATTCTTCTCTGTTGATGCAAAACTTCTGGAAAAGATCTAGAACTTCTCTCTTCCAGGAATATAGAAGTCAAAATTTTGCTGAAATGCTCCTTCAATTTGCATTACAAAGAATGTATCTATATATCTATGTCTACACATCTATGTCTGTATCTTTTTTAAATTTTGGTGGACACAGGGACTTTGCATCACCCCTAAAACCACACCACCAGGGTAATGGACTGTTTCTGTAACATGCTCCACCATCCTGCATACAACCCAAACTAATTAACTTTAAAAAGGGGGCAATCCCTCTCTGTCATAATCAAGATCAGAGCTATACTGAGATGGGGCAGACTAGCATGTCAGGAGGCTCATGGCTCAACTTCCCTGCTGAGTTGTTTCTACCTCCTCCCGAGGCCTTCATGCTGAACCACCATGTTTGACAACAGGGACACAGGCCATACAGAGATATGCAACCTCTTGGAAGAACGTGCAGAAGTTCTTCCTGGCCAGGGCCACAGCTGAGTCTTCCCGAGTGGATCACTCACCTCCTGCAAGTCCCAGTGCTGCTGATGGGTGGCAGTGCCTTCCTCAGTACAGTTCTGAAGAACCACCTGCTCCTGCTTGACATCCAAACACAGGTGCTGTGGGCTGCCAAAGTGGATCTCCCTCCTGCCGGTGTGCTCCAGGTGCTGGGGCAGAGGGAGAGGTGGTTAGCACAGCTAGAAAGAGGCCCTCTTCAGAGCTGGAGGCGAAGTGAGAAGAATTCACAGCAGACCTGAGGTCTAGGGACCATCTTTGGATTCGAGGGAAGTCAGCAAGACCACACACACACTGCAAGGTGAGCTGTGGTTCTGAAGCCCCGCATTCCAGCCACCTTGCATTTACATTTGTGCATTCTGGCAAGTCCCTCCATTGTGCTACTTCCTGGATCACGGTGAAGGGTAAAGGATGCTATGTGTTGTGTGAGTGTACTGTTAGAAGGGCAGAGGGACCTTTCTGAGGCCCAAGTTGATCTTTTCTGGGAAGATCTTACCTGCTCCCCAAACTTATTTTCCTGCTGCCTCTGATGATCTGCTGACTCTCGCTCCTGGTTATTATGGTCTTCAGGGTTTTGCAGTACTATACTGGGTTTGCAGAGGGGTTTTAACTGTGAGAAGACTGTGCAGACTTTGTCCTGCAAAACCATTTGCTGTTTGTTCCTGTCGGATGGAGCCTGAACTGATTTTTATGTTAATGTTGTGGTTTAGAGGCAAGATTGCTTTCATGGACATGCCGGCCTGTGCACCCCACATGGGGCTTCCTGCTAAGAAGGGTTTAATGCTTTTGGTTCAATAACATTGACTTAATGTTCTGCTGTCACTGTCTTGACATTATTAATAATTGTCTAATTGGAGATGCCACATTTTTGTTTTGCACTGTGGTCTGCAAATTAAGCAGCCTGCCCTACTCAAAGATTCCCAAACTACACAATTAGTATACATTTTGACTCTAAGCACATATTGAAGGCAAGCTTGTGGACAGTTTTCAGGGAACAGTAATATTTTTTTCTACTTAACTCTTGCATAGACAGCGCTCTTTGCAATTTCCCTGTAGCAGTATGTACATATTTCTAGTTAAAAATTTCAAGGACAGGTTAAGCTTTGAAGGTCAAAGCTGGATTTCTATGGGGGTCTCATATCTGGCTTCTCTCATCCTTGGGCTGAGGGTGGTCTCATGGATTCCTGAGGCTGTTGGTGACAATTCCCTCTACTTGGCATGCCAGCCCAGGTCATGCCCTTGGCTCTGTTTTCGGTTGCCTCTTGGCTTTTGATCCCTGGAGATTTTACTTTCTTTCATGGAAACTCAATTACATAAGCATGAAAAAAGTCATATTCTTTTCCCAGCATATCATATGTAGGTGTTCTTAGGGAAGGGCTTGAGAGAGAGAAAGAGAAAAACGTATTATTGTGTTTTCATGGCAATACCATCCCTACTTGCAGATGAAGAAATTGAGGCTCAGAGCAGTTAAGAAACCTGCCGAGATCTCACAGCTAGCAAGTGGGGGAACTTGGAGAGAAATTTAGCCATGTGTAACAGTATATCATGCACAGTTTTCACACCTAATCTCAGCTTCCTTACTTAGTACTTTATATTTATGTCCTTGTCCCTCAAGTCCCTTGAGTCTGAATGCCTACAGAAATATTCAGGGAGACTGGTAAAGGGCAGAGTCAGGACAGCCTGTCCTTCCCTGTACTGCAAAGCCCAGCCTTGATCAGCTTCCTGGGAAGGGCCCAACCCACTGCAAGAGATGATCCCTCCCTTGCCCCAGGCTCTCCAGACCTCACGTACACCCTCCAATGAATACTTCCAGAAATTGTTTTCATTAGGAGCTTCTGGGACAGGAAAGCTTAACGCAGAGGCCCCTACCACAGCCTGAAAGCATAGAGATTTGGGGACAGGTTGCACTTTCTAGGTTTTCAACTGAAAAGAAAGTGAACCTACCAACCCTCAGCTAGCATCAAAGGAGGCTTTCTACTACCTCAGGCAGTGACACCCATGATGAAAATTTTGAAGAGTGCTAGAAATATCCTACGATACAGGGAGACCTTCCTAATGACCAAGGGGATGTTACATGGATGCTAGAATGACCCTGCTGCATCTAGATCCTTTGCCATGACTCAGTTACCTGCTTCTTCCTCTCCTCAAACCCTTGGACCCTGCCTCCGTCTAGGGACATTGATCGGCAATACCTGAACTAGTGATTCTGTGCCTCAGTTTCTTCATCTGCCGAATGAAAGGGTTGGCTAAACAGCTTCACCATTTCTCTCTAAAAGCTGCATTCTTTGGTCGTGGTCCATGTCTGTGCTTTAACAGGGGGTGAGTTGGGCAGATCTGGGACATATAATCACGGTGGGGAACTATGCGCAGTTAGGAAACACGGAATCACAGAAAGGAGATACAGCAAAGCGGAGTATAGCCCAGAAAAGCGGCACCCGTTTGCAAAGCCTCCTTGGGCTGTTATCCATGCTGAGAAGGATGATCACCCACCTGCTGCTTCCTACTGTCATTGCAAGGAGCCAGTGTCATGGGACAACCCAGGATGTCCTTTTCTGCTTGGCAGTCTGCACAGAAGCCAAGCCCAGAGTTGTGGAGCTGAAAGTGGACAAGCACACAGAAGTGAATCCCAACATTCACGACCTCCATCGTAAAGACACCCTGGGTCAGGTACCACTGACCTCTACTGCCTGGAGTGTAGCCCAAGGTGCACTGTTCAGGTCATGATGTGTGTGTGTCGGGGGGGTCAAGTTGAAGCCACTGATTTTAAGGGACAAGCCTCCAGAAGGAGACAGGCCACACTTGTCCTGCTGAGGAACTCTGGTATAGGGCAACCTAGCCACCTTTTTAGGGCCGGCATGGCGTTAGGGCACAGGCTGAAGGCCTCCGAGGCCTTTCTGAGCTCATGATTGGTTGGCCAGGGTAATGGAAGAACAACTGAATGTAGAGTTCTTGTCTTGGGAGGTTTCCTTCTCCCATTTTTCCTCCCAGTCTTCCCTGGGTCATGTCTTGCCTTTCCGGAGAACCTGGGTCTGTGTTCAGATGGGTACAACTTGGGATAGACGTTGGCTAGAAACCAGTGGAAGGTCCGACAACCCATTCTCCTTTGCAGCTGCAAGCGTTCGGTGCAGTCTGGCTTCTCAACCTAGGGGAGGAGAAGGATATCAGCAGTGAGGTCATGAAAGCTTGTTCTACTGCAAAATCGTTGTAGTAGGGGAGTGATGGGGGTGGCTTGGAGGAACCAAAGGATTGGGACAGAGCGAGGTGCCCAAAATCACAGTTCTTAGGGCCTGCAGACATGGGGGTCAGTCACAAGTTGGGAGAAGAGGTTTGAAAAGGACAACATAGGACAGCCTCCCTTAGAGAGAGCTGGCACGACTGTGATATCACCTCCTCCCAAAGATTTCTAGATCTTTATGTCCAATGACTATGATGTATATGCTTTCAAGACTTCTGTGAAAGCCGGAAAAAATGATGGGGCTTTACACCTAGGTTTGTGAAGTGCAGAACTTTATTTTATTTTATTTTGGTGGTGGTGGGGGTACCGGGCATTGAACTCGGGTCCTTGCGCTTGCAAGGCAGGCCACCAAACTGCTGAGCTAAATCCCTGGCCAGAACTTTATTTTTTAAATTTCTGTTTTTTTGCAGTGTGGGAACTGAACCCAAGGCCTTCATACTGAGCTACATCCCTCCCTTCACTTTTTTTTTTTTTTTTTTTTGAAACAGGGTCTTGCTAAGTTGCCCCAGGCTCAAATTTAGGATTTTGTTGCCTTAGCCTCCCAGAGTGCTTGAATTGTAAGAGTGCATCACTACCCCTGTGCAATCCAGAACCCAGATGGGCTCATGGAGACAAGAACTGTCCCAGAAGCAACCGAGATGAAGTGACTTGGAAAATTGTGGGGTAGGGACCAAGTGAGCCAAGTTTCTGGTTCTGTTTCTCGAGGTGCCCAATTTCCTCCATTAATCAATCATTTGTTTGGCTACAATATCCCCTCACCTTGAAATTCTTCTTTATAATACAATTGTGTTCCTATGGATATCAAAATAATTCCCTAATGCTAGTAAAAATTAGTGCTTTGCTTATATTGCCAAGATACAAAAAAAAAAAAAATGCTATCCAAAAGTTTAGTTTGAAGTCCTGGATATTTTTAGGAAAGAGAAAGGTTCTAAGGAAGATTTAGAATGACCAAAGCACCACCCCCCATTATTTTTTCCTGACATGAGGAAAAGAAGAGAGATGTCCATGTCAGAGTTCATCTTGATGGCCAGTTACCCAGCAATAAGACACTGGCTCAATGGGCTACACAAGGGGAAGGGATTCTGCCTTTTCCCTGTCCGAGCCCTCACGTGGAAATGTTGGGAAGAGTAAGGTCAGAGTGTGGCTACGCCGACATTCATTCCCTTGCCATGTTTCTCAGTGTGTCCTTGGGCTCTTGCCTAGGCCCTGCCCTAGAGACGGTGACTCAGATGGTTGGGCTGATGACCCTGCGATCTGCATTTTAACCATTTCTAGTTTTCCCCACAGATACTTTGCAAACAACCTCTTGAAGTCCAGAATTTCTTGTTTATTTAGCATATTTACCCACCCTTAAGCCAAAGAGATCTATTGTTTTTTTGTCTGAGGAAACTGGCATGCAGCTTTTGTTTTATTTTGTTATTTGATGGTTTCTTGGCATTGTTAGTGTTTATTTGCAATTTTTCCAGTACCTCCCCAGTTTTGGACTTTGTTCCCAAAGCAGGAACATTCCTCATGTGAACTCTATCACCTTCACCTTCCTTTTTTTTTCACCTTCACTTTTCTTGGTGATGAGACAAATAACAAATCTACCTTTCTCTCTGTGATCTGAAAGAAGCCTGAACTTTTCCTTATCTGTTCAACTATGCCTGGGAGAGACATTAAGTTCCCCAGCAGCAAAATCCAGCTAGTCTTTGGGCGCCCAGGATTTGTGTATCTCAAAGTCTATGTAAAGGCTTGGAAAGGTTAGAAATCTTTAGACCAAAAGCAATTTTTAGATAGTTAAATGTAAGGTAAATGCATGCTATCTAACACATTCAAGGAGGCAGAGATGTCACTGAAATCTTGAAATCAAACTAAATGATAAGACATTTCCAAAATATAAATTGTGTGTTTCTGTGTGTGTGTGTGTATGTGTGTGTGTGAGAGAGAGAGAGAGGGGAGATAAATATCTTCCTATTACTAGTAAAGGTGCCATTTTCTTAAGCCTAATATCTAGTTGGTGCTTTACATCCTCCAAAGTACCCTTTCACATTTCATTTAATTGTATCCTAAACTACTTTCTCAGAGTCACTAGCTTCTGATGGTAAGAACCAACACTTGGCTTCAGTTTAATCATTTTTGTATCATCTACTTGTTCCATAAGTGAATATTTATGGAGCACCTCCTATGTACCTGGGATTGACTCAAACAATAGAGATTTTAACAGTAAGCAGGGTAATTACTCTCCCTGCCTTTGCTGAGCTTGTACATCTCTGAAACACTTATTGAGAACTATTTATGTGCCAAAAACACATCGCTGCCTCCTGACAAAGTCAGAACTACAGAGGAAAGATGTTTTACCAGCGATGCCCAGAAAGGAGAGGTGTGAAACTTGAGGATTCGTGTTTCCAGCTGTCGGGGAGCTGAGAGGCAGAATATAAACTAGCTGGGTTAGTTCTGCTTCTAGGTCTATTGCTGGCTCTTTCCCTGCTTTTCTTTGGCCCCATCCTATGGGGCCTCAGTTTTTTATTTCATAGAATGAAAGGCTTGGATGAACACAAACAAGTACCATTTAGATCTCCTAATCACCAACTAGATAAGCACATGGAATTTTCTCAAACGCAGGCTGGTCAGGCTGTAAAACAGCTGGCATTATCGCAGTTCCCAATTTCTGAAATTGCCTGGGACCAAGTGCATATTCACAGGCACTTTTAACTGCACCAACAACTCTGTGTGGAGAAGGTTGAAAGTTTGCAGATAAATTACATGCTGTTGAGCTACACTGGGTAGAACCAGCATACTATGTCCCAGTGAGCCTGTCCGCCAGACGGTTAGCTCAGTTCATCAGAAGCTATGCTATATTTGATTCTTCTTTAAGAGTTCTTTAGAAATGAAGTCTGTATAAACATTGAGCAAGTGTCCTCTGAAAGTAAAAAGCAAATACTGAATTGACATTCCAGGAAACAAAACAATGCTTTAGCCAAAAGAAAGGAAAGAAATTAAAAGCCAGAGCAGCTCCGTGGACTTCCGTAGGACTTGGTAGAATGTCACAGCTTCCTGTTACCCAATGGGAGCTGACCTTGCCAACTGGGAGCTAAGCTCTTGTTTGATTTTTAGTGGACAGATTCTTTCCTTAACTTCTCCTGGGATGTTAGTTGAACCTGTGCAGCCATCGTTCAAACATTACCTCCTCTGAGAAAGTGTCCCTCCGTGGTCCCATCTAGGGTATATCCCTCTCATCTTCGTGGACACTGTTCCCCCTTGGGGAGCTCCTGCCCCACAGACACCTGATGACATTCACCGTGGTTCAGCATCCCCTGCAGGACCCACCCAGGGCCTGACCCAACGCAGGTGCTTAGTTGACTCTTAGTAGCAAACAGCCAGGCAGGGTTTACCCAGTGCTCCGCACTCTTCTAAGTGTTTTGGATATGTTAACTTATTAAATCATCCTAACAATACTGGGAATGCTCAGCAAGTGAGGAAGAAGTACTGAGTAATTAAGTAACTTCAAAGTCATATATCTGAAAAGCCAATATTTAAACCCAGATAATTTTATCCTCTGGGAATGAAGAAAGTTCTTAGCCTGTCTAGCCCTTAGGCACGAACTGAGACCTTTGTATATTTTTCTCCAGTTAACGAAACAAGCTTGGAGTTCCAGGAACCCAAACACTTCAGGTCTTGGAGGTCATTCTGCTGAAGAGAAGGATGTGGACTAGGTGGGAGGGAGCAAACTCTGAGGACCAAGGAGGAAGGCAGTCCCCTGTCAGACTTCCCTGCACCCAGGAAAAGGCTTGTTATGGGGCATGGCATGTCACTCCTCTAATTGGCCCAGCCTCATGACATGTGACCTCACATCCAGCTCATACCCAGCAGCACTGGCTGGAAAGAGGGACCGCTGTGGGTCCTAGGAATCTTACCTTTGGAGCCTCCACTTGCAACATAGCAAACATAGCCTTTATGTGTCTTTCCATAAGCGCTGATGATGCATTTTGTGGATATTTAATTACAGATTTAGAAGTTTAATTTCTCTGTGGCTATTTTAGCCTCTATATTTATTTTATATTTATATTTGTTTGGTGTCTTAGGTAATCCCATAGCCATGAGCACTTTGATCGAGAAGAAAGGGCATTTGGGGACCCACCCCACTGTTTATCCATGTCCTGTCTCTCCTCCAGACCCAGGGCAGAGGGCTGCATCCCATAGATTCCAATCTATATTCACGAGTGAGTTCTAGGCCAAGGTCAGCGATGATGTTTCAATGCTTAGCAACCACTTGAGAGGGGATGACTTAAGGAAGTTCAAGCTAGAAGCTTCTATTTTTCTTCCAGGCAGGACAGGTGTCCTCCCTTATCCAGTTTCCAGCTGGTGACCTTACAATGGGCACAGAAACCTCCATCTGGCTCTCTCCTTACCTTGCTCAAGGTGAAGGCCTCTGGGCTGTGCCTGTAGAAAATTTCTTTGAATGGCCCCAGCCAAGTCTCAGCAATGCGGACCTTGTTCTGCAGAGTGGCCTCCTGGTCAAGGGGGACATGTGCATCCTGATTTCCGTAGACATGCCCCACCCGAGAGCAGGGGATGATTTCAACGGAGCCACCACAGAGCCAGGCCTGCCATGAAGAGAGAAGGTAAACAACTCTACCTCTACTCCCCAGAACAACTGGAAGGAAAGGACCCTGTTCATGAAGGCTGGCACAGGAAATCACAAGCACAAAATGGTCACGGTCATTAGAGTCTTGAGGGTGGAGCTTTCGGAACTGGGGGTTTGGACAGGGGAATGGCAAGGTGGGAAGAATGGGGCATTTATACTGAGGGGTGACGAGTACATCCATGGATCTACCTAAATGTGCCACCTTTGAAACGCACGTGCAGATCCAGCGCTTAGAGAGAGGAACCACCCACAGGGGATTCATATCCCCACTCCCCAGAGAGCGATTCCCTGGGGACAAAGGTGCCTCGGTGCTGAGGGACTTTCTAAAAGCTTGTGACGCCTCATGCTGTGTACTCAGAGCTGCATGAGCTGCCTCTGGTGGAGATGAAAGTGAACCCTTCCTTAGGAGCCTTCGTGACTTCAAGGATCCCCCCTACTCTCTAATGATCTTTTCCACTCAACAAATGCTTGGCCTTCATTTGGCAGGAAGATTTTTTGGTCCACATCTGGGACAGAGGCTAAAATGAAAACCACTCTAAGAAAGGCAGCCCACGAATTAAAAGACACCAAGGCTAGGGTTCTCAAACTCTGGCCAAGGTGCCCTAGGGCACCTCAGAGAACTCAAAGGATATTTTTGATTTTTTGAAACAGTGATATGTGTTGGACACTGTACCAAGCAAAAGCTTGATGTCATTCATACTTCAACATTAGATAGATAGATCTCAGCACTTTTGAGGATGGATGTCTTTGCTGGGTTAGGGTTTTGGCGACTGCTGTGATGAAAAGCAAGTATCATGCTAAAATCAGTGTGGAACAGAAGATGGGAGTGGTGGGTGTCCAATCTAATTCCAAGGTTCAAAAACACAGCAATGCCCTGCACATGCTAAGTTGTTAGGATAAATATTTATTAATTGGTTTGGGCTAAATTACTGAATACACAAGATAGCTTTGTATTTGGCCTGTGGATGTTAAAAAATTACTGAGATGCTAACTAAGGGTACTAGGACCAGAGAATGCTTGAGAAGCTTTGGAATTTCTGCACTAAGGTTTACAAGGCTGATAATATGCCCTTTTCTCATGACAGGTTCACCCTTCTTTTCCTTTCTTCCTCCCTCCCTTCCATTCTTTGAGACAGGCCCTTTCTTTGAGTCTGTAGGTGAGGCTGGCCTTGAACTCACAATCCTCCCTCAGCCTCCCAAGTGCTGCTGGGACTATAGGCATGTACCCCTGCTCTCTGCCTAACAGCACATTTTGGAAGTAAAATTCTTGAGGCACAATGAGAGTAAAATCAAGGTAGAACACAACAGAGATGGAAGAGGGGGATTAATGGGATGTGTGACCCACCTGTCTGTGATGACTATGATTTACCCACAGTCTCAGCCCCTACTCATAGTATTTCTGACCATAGTGTTTTTTGGTTGCTTCCAAGCTGTGACTACACACTTTGTTCCACAGACCCCACCTATATCCTTCCTTGGTTCGGGACATACCTTGAAGGATAGTTCGAGGTTTTCTCCACCCTTCAGTGACATGAGAGGGTCATATGCTCCGCTGTTTTGGAAGTAATGTCTATCCACGGCCACCACCTCTCCAGGTACCACTGGGCTCCTGGACAGAGAAGATGGGCAAGAGACTGCAGTTCAGAATGTGAAGTATGGCAGGCACAGTGGGGGGCTGGGGGCTTCCTAGGTGGGGGCTCCAGTGGTTGAGAGGGTGGGCTCAGATGGATCTCAACATCTTTAACTGCAAGATTGGAGCAAAGCAATGATGTCAGAAAGTGTTTCGTGAAAAGAGAGCTAAGGTTACCTGGCTCCTTTTACCCTCTGCTCAGGCATTGCTCCTGCAGAGAGGGCAAAGGGTCTACTCTCAGCACTCCCAGACCCTGTGGCTCCAGTGTTTCTGGAGAGATGTTTGGGAGGAGGACCTTGGTCAACATAAGACACTCTAAGGAGGTAGTGCCAGGCCAGGCAACAGGACACAGTCAAGACGCTTCCTCCTCTCTCTTCCCTCACCCTCTTCTGCTTAACAACTGGTCATTCCCTCCCTCTGCAATTCTAAGATTGGTCCACCAGGGACTCTGGAAATAGATTGGTCTCCATCTATCCTGGTGGAAATACACGCGACTTATAAGCAAAGCTAAATAGAAACCCTGAATAAGGAAATTAGGATGAAAATAATTTCCCTCAGAAAGGCCTTTTATAGAGAAAGATGCAGCCAAAAAGTCTTCTGACAGTACCTTCATGCAGAGACAAATTTTAATGCAGCCAAACTCTGGATATATTTTAAGACATAAGTGACTCAGAGTGAAAATATAAAAATTAGCAATGAAATAGTATTCCATTAACAAGGCCTTTAGGTTATTAGAAATATCAATGTTATACTAGATATCAGTGTTATACTAGAACACTGAAAATCCATATTACAATGATTAGTTGACAAAATCTCTACCTGTGCCACTCAGCATTTGTAAGATCTCGGGTGAGATACATAACTTCTCTGGTTCTCTGAGCTCTGTTTCCTCATCTCCAGTTGGAATAAAATGTTTTACAGTTGGTTTTGCAGGGATTAAAAATAATTTATAAAAAGTGCACAACATTGTGCACGTCGCATTTTAAATGCTCACTATGTTTTGGGGTTGCAGGTTCACTATTCCTTCTCTGAAACTTATGGGGCCAGTATGTTTTTTGAATTCTGAATTCTAAAAAGGTGCCTACATCATCCACTACATATCGACCTGGGGAGGGTCTGGGCAGCACTCTTTAGTCAAACTCTGTTCAGTGAAACATGAACTTTCACAGTAAGTGAAATAAATGAAGGCTGAGTAGATGCCTGTGTCAGTTCAGGATAGCATCTTCTACCTAATGAATTATGAAACAACTGCTTGCTTTTCCGAGCTCTTTAGTTTTGTAATTTTTGGATAACAGATAATACAATACAGCCTAGAGGGAAAGGACCTGGTAGACACAGTTTTAACTCTGGATCTACTTCTCATTAGCTTAAGATGTTGGGGAACACAGTGAATCTGCACATGCCCCCGATACTTTGGAGACGGAGACAACCAGCCCTGCTGGGACCTCTCAGAGTCCATGACCAATGGAAGTTGAGAACTTAATAACTGTTTAATTTTTCTTCACTAAGTCTGAGGTGGTTTGTTAGTTGACAAAAGGTATCTAGAACAGTTACTTACATAGCCGTCCAAAAACCAAGTATGTGACAAGTGACCAATAAAAATGGATGCATTTTGAGACTTCTAGTCCCCTAGCATTCACCCAGCTAAATTCTTCCTTTTTGCTGAGCAAACCTGTGGCCAGAGAATTACCACTGTTACCTGCTGAGAGAGCTGGGCCAGGGTCTGGCTCAGCTTTTTCCTCTTTCCCACAATGGGGCCTCCACTGAAGCTAGAAAAACTCCACTGGTTTTACTGACCTAACAAAGAGAGCAACACCCAGCCCCGAGAGCCTGGAGTCCTCTTAATGCTATTCGTATATTCATGCTTTCAATTTTCACAACAGTCCTACGAAGTAAGTACTATTATTACTGTCGACTCACTGATGAGGAAACCGAGACACAGACTCAGGAACACGTGAGCAAAGTGTGGCGCCAAAGGCTCACCTGAAGGGGCTGACGGGGGACTGCAGGGCCTTCCTCTCATGCTCTGGCAAAGGTTCCCAGAAGAAATCCAGTTTCCAGTCCAATACCCCACGCTGCAGCTCCTTGGAAGGATAATATTGGAAAGTCTTCCAGTCAATCACGTCTATGACCGGAGATACCACACGGCTCCTGGGAAGAAAAGAGAAATCAAGGGATACCACGTCTTTCAGCTGCTGGGGCGTGAAGAGAAAATGTATGCACGTGATGTTCAACATGGCAGCCACCAGCCACTCATACCTGTTGGACACCTACAACATGGTTTGCTTGAATTAGGATGTAGTATAAGTGTAAAATACAAACTGAGCTTAGAAGACTTTGTATGAATGAAGGCTGTAAAAAAAAAAAAACAATGATTTTTTTATATCGGATGCATGTTCAAATGATATTCTGGATATACTGGGTTTACTAAAATATATTATTAAAACTAATTTCATCTCCTTGTTATTTTGTAATGTGACGATTAACTTTTAAATTAAACATGTAGCTTGTCACATATTTTTGTAGTGTTATCACTGTCCTAGAAATTATATTTCTCTGCAAGGAACTGGGGCCCTTTTCACTAAAGAGAATACCTGCTCCTTTCTTTCTTTAAAAATCTCTTGACACCATGAGAGGCAAAGAAGTGGGGGTTCTAGGTTCAGCCCTGCTACCAAGGAGCTGTGTGACCTTGAGATACCAGTTATACCTTTCTGGACCCCAGTTTCCTTATTTGTAATGTGGAAGTTTAAACTACTTCCCACATAGGTCTTCCTCAGCTGTAATACTCTAGGACTATGGCTCCTAAACTCTATTTGTTTATTTGTTCTTTCTATCTATCTATCTATCTGTCTGTCTGTCTATCTATCCATCCGTCCATCTTTTATAAAAATTTTTTTGAGCTTTAATTGAGTTTATTGGTACATTTTAGGGATACAGTACAGTTACATTCGTTGTTGGGATCTTGTACCTCTACATGACAAGTCTTGATGTCCATCTTTTTTGAGACAGGTCTCACTCTGGAGCCCAAGCTGGCCTTAAACTTGTGATCCTCCTGTTTCATTTTAATTTCTCTTGAGGTTTTTGATCTCTTTGAGAATCAAGTGAAACCATAGAAGCTTGATATGGATACTGAGGAAAATGCTCAAACACCCAGATCCAAAAACACTGTGCACAATGTCATACAGTGTATGGATTTCGATTCTAAGGTCTGTTTCCTATTCCTCCCTGTATCACAAAACTTGATTGGTTTAAGAAGTCAGGCTTGCCAAGCACAAGAGGTATAGCTGGTTGATGCATTTCTATGTGAGCGCAAGGTGTCCAAAAAAGAAAAACAACAAAGTTCTGAATCTAGGTTTATTTGCTCATTTCCTGCTGCTGTTGGAGATTATGTTTTATTCTGATTTTTTTGAATAGCCTTTGCAGGATGTTCTCAGAGACAGTGAGTGGAAAATTGGCCCAGGTTTGAAACTTTAGCCATCGATGAAGCAAGTTATCCCTCGTGTATCCTCAGAAGCTGCTCAATGTCTCAATCACATTTTTATTCTAGCCCCTTATAGCAGTAACTGCAGAAATCTGTGCTATGGACTGGATTTACCCTGAACTGAGGGGTCGCTGAGGGTACCACTCTTAGAGAAGTGAGATTCCTGAAAGGAGCACTGCACACATTGGTCTCCATCTCTGTTCCATGCATCTTGAAGATAGCCAGGGCTGAAGCAAGCCTACATCAAGTAGAGAGGGCCAGGACGGTCCCAAGAGCCAATGACCTGCTTTATGTGGGGAGTCCTGAAATCTATAGTTAGAGAGAAGATACTGAAGTATTTTTCTTGTCCTCTTTACTTTGTTCTACTGGAAGGCAAGGGGAACTCGATCCCTCCAGGTCTCATGTATTTTGCAGTACCCACGTTGACCTAAGAAAATTGAAGCAAGAATGAAGGAGAAAGGAGGCACCCAAATCCCCTCCTAAATCTCCACTTAGTGGGGAAAAAACTGGGGAGATGGAATCATTTGACTATTTACAAAGCATGCTGTAGAATTTCAGAATAAAGAGGCAAGGGAACCATGTGGCTGGATTTTGAAGAATTGCATAAAAAATTTGTGCTGTCTTCATCAATTATAAGAGGACAAGAAAGAAAATCACATTCAAGCATTCACACAATTGGTTTTCCCTAGACCTTTGTGCTTGACAAAGGTGTGTATACATTTTATCAGTAAGTGAAAACTCTAAAATCCATCTCTTCTTTTTTGGTATTTCTGGAAGCTCAGAGTCATAGATAAAGTTCATTATAGCTGCATTACCCCCAACAACATCTTTTCCTTTGTGGAATTTCCCTTTTTCTCTCTTTTGAGTGGGTGTATACTGATTAGTCTTGAGCCTCCTTGAGTATGTTTTGGATAGAAATGAAGAATAGAGCTTTGTGAATGAAGGGAGAGATGTTTCCTGTTTTGGTTTTATTCCCATGGGCCATAGTGGCTGCTTAATCAGGGCAAAATGAGTAACTGCAGTCCAGTGACTCAAGAAGGGTAGTTACTCAAAATTTTTAAATTCACAGTATTATATTTAGCTTCATTTCTGTACCTACAAATGTGTCTGATGTTCTTGGAATTCACTTAAAGCAAAGCATAGCTGCCCTGTTTGATTTGGAAGGAACCAGGAGTCTGGTCACTCCTTCTTTCTCTCACTTGTGAACAGTTTGAACTCCCATTCAGGTACAAGGCTGATGCTCTGGGAAGCCTTCCAGGTTCTGGGAAGTCAAATGTCAGGTTTCAGAAGACATACAGAGGCAGTCAGTGCAGCTGTCAATGAAGACTAGTTAAATGAAGTAAATGAGATTAACCAATACACCGCTGTCCAGATAGTCAAAGGCTAACTGTAGTTTTGACTTCTCTAACCAAATCTTTCACCACAATAAAGAAAAGCTCTACTTTACCCTGTCTTTATTTTTCCTAGGCCTGGATATTCCTCAAGGTCCGCTGTACAAACACCGTTTTGAAAGCTTGGGAATATTCCTGGTGTCTGTGGAAGGGTTCTTATGCCAAAATGAGGAAGGGCCTGAATTCTCTCTTCCCAGAGTTTCTGTGACCCTAGAACTGGTACTGACTTTTCCAAGGACAAATGAGACAACTCATTCTCTGAGGGGTATGAAGGAATGAAGGAAGAGGAGCGCTGGAGAGCTTCCTTGGGGCACGAGACACAGAGGAAGCTGCTGAGTTCAAGGGAGCAAACTCCTTAGCACACAGTCACACACACACACACACACTCTGCTACTCACTCGGACACATGCCAAACAGGGGATTCTCAGACCTTAAAAGTCAGAGAGGAAGGAAAAGCTCTGTTTCCTGCCTCTCCCTGCTTCTCCCTATTAAGCAGGATCAGCCCGGGCTGAGCACTGGGTGACCTAAGGTTTCAGTGTCCCTCAGATAGGGACCAGTCTAGTCTGCAGTCGGGAGACAATCTGCGAGCCTCTCAAGAGGATGTTGTCACTCAGCCCCTACTAAAACAGATCTCTTTCTTCTGCAGCCTTCATTTTTCTAGAGGTCTGACTGCTACTGCTTGGCCTGGGAACCAGAAGTAGCAGACACTGGGAGCTGGGTGTGACAGATGCTCTTGATTTTTCTTATTGTTACATTTGATTCTGGCCATAGCAATTCCCAGCACTGCCCTAAAACCAACTGCTCATGGAAGAACTTTGTCTAGGGTTGCTATGTGTAGTTGTGGGGATTGTGCCCTGCTCCACCTTAGAGATCATCTCTAATATTATAGACCTTTTAAATTTGCATATTCATAATTTCTGGCATTTAGCATTAAGATGTCTTATTTTAATAAAGTAAACATTATGATAAGTTCTCTGAGGAATAGGAGTAAAGGGTGAGAAGGACCAAAAAAACTCAAACAAGGCCATGGATTTAGCTCAGTGGCTCTGCACCTGCCTCACAAGCACAAGGTCCTGAGTTAGATCTCTGGTACCAAAAAGAAGAATTCAATGCTGCTACATGGCCAAGGGTAGACCTGTCCTATCCCACAGGAAAGGTCAGGGCACCGAGGCCAGTAACCAGGCTCTGAATTCTCTGACACGGCTCTTTGAAATAGCTGATTAGTGGTTTATCACACAGTTCATTCACCACTCCCATTGCACCTTTTTAAGGAAAGTTTTTCAGATTTTCCTCTTTTTCAGGCACTGGGTCCTTTCCTGGTGATAGTACAGCTCTGAGCAGGAGCCTCCGAGGAAGCTGGGTTTCCTTTTCTCTCTCAGAGAGCAGCAGTATCAGCAGTCATACCAACAGCTCTTAGGGTTTTGCTTTCCCTGGGGTCAGCTGACTCAGGAGGTCCAGAAGAGCCATCTGGGCCAGGTCCCAGGGGAAGCAGGGCAAAGCATAAAGGGGACATCTCCTTCTCATGCTGCAGCACCCAGGGCGTTGCCATATGGGGAGGACAGAGATGAGAAAGAACTCAGATCCCAGGCAGGTACCTTTTCTTTCAGGTCCTGCCTGCCAAGGCCTACGAGCTTGACACAGGGGGCCAGAGAAAATGAAGCGGGCCAGGAAGCCACGAAGGAAGTTGTGGGGATGAAAAGATGGTCAGAAAACAGAGGAGAGCAGATGCTCAGGGGAAGCCAAGCCAGGAAGGCATCAGGATCAAAGGCCCAATGTGGATATGCATGTCTGTGAAAGACAGAGAGACAGACAGACAGACAGAGAGAAGGTGAAGAGGGGGGAGGAGGAAGGGAAAGAGAGGGAAGAAGAGAAGGTGTGAGAGGGAGAGAGAATGAGGAGAAAGGCTTGGAAATGGGACGGATGGGAGAGCAGGGGACGTTAGAATTTCTTCCTAATCACTGAAGGCTTCTCAGGGAGCTGCCTTTAGTTATAGCAGACACTGACTTCCCTTTATCCTAGAGCGAGGAGCCTCCAGATCTGTGAAACTGCGCCAGTGTGAGAAGCACACATGAAGGACCTGCTGCTTCAGCAGATGTTCCCTCACTGGATGGAAGGTGGGGACGACTGAACGCTTCTTCCTGACCAAATTTCTCAGTGTTCAAATGTTTTTTGTGCACAGTAAAAAGAGCATTGGACTTAGAGTGAGAAAGCCTGATTCAACCACCCGTTAGTCTCTGTGTGCCCTTACGTGTTGTTTCAACTAGGAGCTTCTGTTTCTTTCCTGTCAGAAATAGGAGCAAAATACCTGCCTGAGCTACCTACCTCACAGCAGGGGCAGGGGACACTGGAGAATGCATCTGAAAGAAGTCTCCTAGGGCTACCCTTACATAAGACTTAGTAACGTGAACTGCCAGTTGCTAAATGTGAAGCAAGCGTAGAATACCAGTAGGCAGCGACCCTGAGGGGGTCTCTTCATCATCCCTGGAACTCAGGGGTAATGGTGACATCATGAAGTCGGACAAAATGACCTCCAAGTCCCCGTGAGAGCCATCCATCTGTGATTCTACAAAGGGAATTAAATGGTGAGTGCTCAAGACAGTTGTAGAGTCTGCCTATAGTGATGCATGACCCCTTTATGTGAAAAAGGATCAAAGATGGCAGCCTTGTAGAGTTTGCGCATTTTCTTGTCCTAGGGCTGGTGCTGAATCTATGTATCCAGCCATTTCTTATAAGATGTGAGCCAAGAGTAGGGAGTAATTTGTCACAGAACTGATCAAAACAGATCTACCTGTCTTGGTTTTACTTAGAATTCTGACTGTTCTTGAACCACTGGAAATTGTTGGAAAACTATTAATTTTCTATATGTCATTTGAGATTTCTCCCATTCAGCAGTCTGCTAACTCCCATACCTCCAAGATCCCTTCAAATGAAGTTCATAAATTTTTTCTTATGTGTATGACAATTCCCAAGTTCAAATGAGACAATACATTTTTACCATGGGTAGAAGTGCAAGGTTAGATGTCATATGGCTGTGTTCTAGCATCAACCCTACCAGCCTGGACACCATCAATAGTTTACTGAGGTCCCATTGGTAATAGGCCTACTCGAGTCCCAAGGGCTATACCCAAGGTGGGCCAAGGTGGGCCAAGGTGGGCCAAGGTGGGCCAACCACCAAGCCTTGGCTTTCCAAAGTGGGATATTTAGATCGAAGGTAATAGATGACAGTACATGTTCAGGGAAAATTTTTAGTTGAGCAAGGAAATAGGAAAGAAAATGACATTGCAACAGGGAAAGGAGAGAAATGGTCAAAGAAAAATTTAAACTGCATGATGTGCAGTGCAGACCTCTCCGGCCTGGCTTTAGGTGGAAATCAGAAACTCCCTGCATACACCAGAGAAGCAAAGAATGCTGGCCCTTGATGAAACTTTAGTGCTCACTCTAATGTTTTCTTTTTATGGATCAATAAGTCTATAGCAAGGGTACTTTAATCTCCTCACTCTCAGTTTATGTTACAATCCTATTAAAATTACTGAACGGACGTCAAGGGCAATGATGACATGGTACAGTGCTACACTTCCATGCAACTTAATAGGATTTCAAGTTTTTGCAACTTCATAGAAACTGTTCTCCAGGCCTCCATATCTACTCTATGGTAGAAAAGATGGATGGACAGAAGAACCTGTAACCTCTCTTCTAACTCTAATTTCCTGGGTTTCTTATAAGGCATCTGAAACTTCAAGGTAACCAATAAGACTTTAAGGATGGAGACCCCGGCACTTTTTTCCAACGGTAGAGACTGTTCTGCTGTGTGAGTGGTTGAACCAAGAAACTATTTCTCCCAGTCCCACCCTTGCTCTGCAGACCCTGGGAGAGGAGAGTTACCTGTCACCGGCTATTCTGCTGAGTAGGGGCTCCAGCCAGCCAGGGTGGCACTCACAGTGGGCATCCATGAAGACCAACACATCTCCTGTGGCCCTGGTGGCACCCAGCATCCGGGCCCTGATGGCACCCAGCCGCTTAGTGCTCCTAAGCAACTTCACACCCTCCAGCTGGGCCACATATTCGCTGAGAGCAGATTTGAGTTGTCCTGGAATTGACAGAGTTATGGTCAATGGAGTCACAGATGCCGTAGCCAATGGGATTGTGATGATTATCACCAGGGTCACTGTTTCTCTTAGAACGCATGGTGAGCACAAGGGTCCCAAAATTCAAATGCATTATTACAGTAGGGATTTTGCTAAGAGATAAGATGCTTCCTTAGCTTGGATAGGTCACAGTGCTGCCCACTTGAACCCAGGAGAGATTGTGCAGAACTACGAGAGGATAAAGCTTGCTCATGTTCTCTCAGTGAGAGAGAATATGTCCCCTAAAAATGTAGTACGCTCCTGAATCCCTGTCTCAAGCTCTGCTTCCAGCGAACCCAAGATAAAACAGTGTTCAAGGAAGTTAAAGGCAGAGAGGACATTAAATTTGGCTGCTGGTAAGTCAGTGAGGTGCTGGTGGAAGGGGTCACATTGCAGTGGGAAGGTGAGCCTGTAAGGCAAAGAGTTGTAGGGAGGAAGTGGGGGGTGCTAAAATCTGAGACCAAGAATCTGTAGTGTTTTAGGAAGACTGGTTCCAGAGGGCAAGGGAGATGAAGGCTCTGAAGGAGAAGGTGATGCAAAGGATGAAAGATGATTATTAGGTCTTATGCTCCAAACAGGAAAAACCTAACTGTGTGTGTGCATGCATGTGCATGTGCGTGGCGGTAGCACTCACACGCTAACAGGAACAAGCCAGTGGGAGGGAAGAAGCAGAGGCTTCCACAGATGCTTGGAAATGGGGAGCTCCAGCCCACTAAGATCTCCCCAAGGGTGAGGAGGGTACCTCATGTATCTCTGCTGCTCCAACCCCTAGTGCAGGGCCTGGCTGCAGCTGGGACTCAACACGTGTATTGAGTAGAACTGAGCAAACAGTGAGAATTTGCCCCAGTGTCCCAACCCAGAGGTGGTCTTAACTGTGACCAAATGTGACTTTAGCTGGGCGTGGTGGCGCATGCCTGTAATCCCAGCACTCGGCAGGCTGAGGCAGGAGGATCACTGTGAGTTTGAGACCAGCCTGGGACACATAATGGGTTCCAGGTCAGTCTCAACTACATAGTGAGACCCTGTCTCAAAAAAACAAAACAAAACAAAAAAGAACACATGTGGCTGGGTTGCTTTGAGAGCTGGATCTCTAGGCAGATGCAAGTAGGGGAAGAGGCTGTCATCCTCACCCAGGAGCCCCCTCCAGACTCCTGGCCCTCCTTCCCCGAGAGCGTCCTTCTGAGCATCACAGGCTTTCTGCATGTCCAGAGCAGTGGACGCAAGGATCCATAGCTCCTTGGCTACACAGATCCCCACTTCATGGCTGTCACATCTCTCAGGGGTAAAGTGTGCTGCTTTACTACCTTATAATTACTTTTCTGCTAAGTCGTTAGTCCCGTTCTACTCCCTAGACAGAAGCCTCTGTTAGTCAAGCAATTAAAATTTCTGAATCTGCACATCTGAGAACCAGCCCTTTATGAGTTCACTGAATTGAACACTGCTAATCAACTTCTCCAAGGGAGAATGAATATTCTCCCTTCCACTTCTCTCACAGAACTTTGATTGTGTTCAGAGCAGCTCAAAGTGTACACCTCCCAAGACACTCTTTCGGCTGGTAGATGCTTTGGTAGAAAGACAATAAATGAGAGGATTCTGGGAAACTCTTGTTTTAACTAATATTTTCCCCCTAAAACAACAAACTTAACTGGCCTCTGCCTATCCTCTCTCACTCTTTGCCTTCAGGATTGTGGGTGCAATGTCCAGAGGTAGAGCTGCCCCATTGTGATTAGGAGGCCGAACTATGCTATTAGCATGGCTAAATAGAAAACAGAGGAGCTGGGTCTCTGATGCTGTGTGGAGCTGCCATACTAGTTCAATACTGCCAACCTACAGGCTTCCGGGGGAGATCAAAAAGAACTGCTAGACTGTAAGGGTGGTTTGATCTTCTCAGAGTTTTTGAAGCAAGAAAGACCACATGACTTGGAGTAGAGTGCTCAGTAGCTGGTATGATCCTAGACCCGTTCCTCCCAGAAAACAGCAATAGTGATGAATTCCGTTTGCCAGACCCTATGATGGGCTAGGAGTCCCATGCATCTCCTCATTTAGCAATTGAATGTGGAAGTTATTACTGAGATGAGTAACTGGAAGCTCACCATGACGACTATGCCGCACTGTCGTGACCACAGCGGACAGCAGCTTGAGGTGGCTCTAGACACCTGGCGGCAGCTTTGTGTCTCGTGTAAAGTGAGGTCGGCGAGCTCTGCACTCAGTGTGGCCATGAGGAGTAAATGAGAACAGCGTCTGTCTTGGCCTTTGTCTGAGCTCTGGGTCCGAGAGAAGTGACCTAGGGCCACACGGAGCCAGTACCACCCCTTTCTCTGTGGGAAATGTGGGGCCACTGTCTGGAGAGCCAGCCTAATGGTGAGGGGCACAAGGAGAGCTGGACAGGAGGCAGCAGCTTAGCCTCTGGGCCTGGGATCCAGATAACTGGCAGGGCCAGCGGGGAGCTGAGGATATCCGAGGCAGCTCACTTCCGGACCAGAAGCTCTACTCCCTACACTCCTGAGGGAACCTTTCCTCAAATAGGTTCCAAACCCCCATTTTAGCATGAACCTGACACCCCCAGGGGCCTAGGCCCACCCCAGGGAGCCCAAAGGACAGCCATAGCTACCTTGCTGGCTGAGGTCGTCCACAAGGACGACTTCCTTCAGGAAGGCCCTGGGTGCTGTGTTAAGGATGCTGTGCACTGTCCTCAGGAGGGTGGACCAGGCCTCATCGTGGAAACAGAGGATGACGCTGGCGGTGGGCAGGCTGTCCTCAGGCTGCTGCTGAAGACACCTGCAGAAAGAGACCCAGAGAGCTGTGAGGAAAGGACTACAAGGAGTACTCAGCATCCTCTAACTCACCCCCGGGCAGAGGGGCTGCTCCAGTCAACCCACCCCTCCGTATCCGGAAGCTGTCCTCGATTTCTGCAGATTTCCAAGGAGAGAGATCCCTACACGCCTACCGGTGTGAGGTCCACTAGCTCCACCCTCACATCTGCAGAGCTCCTCTGCCACAGGCCGTCCACACTCCTCCCCTTGCAGCTGAGGGCACCACACATCGGCCCCTACTCTCAGCAGATGACTGCCCTCACCTGTAAGAACAAAACGAACCAGCATCACGAGGCTACTGTGAGGCTTGCACAGGCTCATGCTCATTGTTAACTATCCCTGAGCATTAATCTTAATCCATTCAAAGGCAGGACAGCAATGATTTGTGTATTCCTACCACCTAACACAATATCTGGTGCACAATGAATGTTAGTCTATTATTAGTAGTAGTATTAAAGAAGAGACCAAGTTTAAACATTTGTAGTATTAACAACACAATAGACCCATCTGAACATATTACTGCAAGTTCACCCTATAAGAAGTCTGTGGATTGGGCTACCTACCCTCCATTTCCGGATGAAGGAGCTAAGGCTAAGAAAGGAGGCAAAGTCACTGAGGAGTGCTAGAGCTGGCTATTCTATCTTCAGTGCCTTCCTGTACTTTCCGCTTAGTGGGCTGGGACTGGAAACATGCGGGGGAGGGGGTGTATGGTGCTGTCCGCTCTGAACCCTCTCGCTTTGGGAGATGCTTGGCATGGGCTTTGCTTCAGGTTTGTGGGGAGTCTGAGCCCGTCTACTGCTGCTGAGTGAAGTGTCACAACAATCTCATAGGCAGAGAGGTTCACAGAAGGTGCCTTCCCAAAACACTTCTTCCTGGGTCACAGCTGCTATAGGACCTAGAAAGAGGGGTACCTCAAGACCTCAAACTTGCAGTACTTAAAGGCATTTATGAAGGTAGAACTACAGGCAGAGTGCCTGCCGGACTAAGGCTGGCCCTGGGTGAGGGACAGTGTCCACCATGGGGCTCACTGGGTGAGTTCACCCTGCCTGGTACCACACTCTCCGGGACTGAGGTCTCTCAAAGCACCGGAGACCTGAGGCGACTCTCGGGAAGAGTCCTGTGTAGGGGGGACCACTAGTGCTAGGAAACACTTTTAAATAGTAGGAAGCCATTCCTAGATGCATAAAAAGCATGGGTAGACACCTCATAAATTAGCTAATTATTTTGTTAGTTTATATATTTTTATACTGTTTCTTTCCATAAAGGACTTGAAGTTGCTCGTAAGAATTATATAAAAATAATAAAACAATAAAAATAAGGAGGAAAATTCAGAATCCAGGAAATATAAGTAAGAGTAGAAAGTCAGCATTTAGAGAAAGAACATAAATATATAAGGCAATACAGCCAAAGTATTTCTAGAATGAATTTCAGATTTTATTCTGAGAGTCTCGGTAGCTAAAGTAAAATGGAAGGTATATTCTACAACAGACTTATCACTAGCAGAGAAGTTACATATCAGGTTGCTTTTAAAAATATTTCAGCTTTCAACTTATAAACTTGCATTTTGAAACAGTAAAAGACTCACAAGAGGGGCAGGAATCATAAAAAATTCCCTTGCTTCCTTCCCCCAGCTTCTCCCAATGATCTCTTACAAAACCACCAACAATGAACAGAAAGAACATCGTGGAATCTGACATTGTTCAATACCATTGCTTGGATTTTACTAGTTTTTACAACTAACACTAATTTTTTGAAGCTGTTCCTATGGATTTTAGTGGGGGAAAAGTCCCTAAGTAGATGACAGGTCCTTAGAACCATCCTTAAGACAAACACAGTTATGAACTTTGACAGTATGAGTTCAGAGCTACTGAAATAATGTGTCCAAAGTGGGACCAGCAAACCTGTAAAGCTTAGGAAGGTAAGGGAGAGCCCCTGCAGCACGTGACAATCTTTGCTGATTCTCTCACTGCCCCATCCCCTGCCTGAGTGTTCCTCCTCCAATCCACGAGATTTTCAGAATCTCTCCTCCGTCCTCAGAGATGCACAGGACTGCTCAAAAGCAGAGAGTCCTTCGTGCCGTCTTCTCTTCCTTTGCGGCCGTGGGTAATGGCAAATCCAGGGGTCCTAGGATTGAGACCGGTAGCTTGCATCAGTAGATTCAGTGGGTATGGAAAACCCACACTATTACTTGGGCATCTATTTTCTAAGTCGGGAAAAGGGTTTGGGGACAGAGAAGCCCAGATCTGGAACTCCTGTGAGGGTATTTAATAGAGCGTACCCCTCCCTATTCTCAGTTTCAGTCCATAGAATGTGAGACTTGGAAATAAGATAAATACACGTGTATATCCTTATAATAAAGTGGTCAAAAGGACTTGGACTTTGGAATCTGGCATATTTGAATCTTTACTGTGTTGCTTCCTGAGTTTTGTTCCCTTTGGTAATATCGGTTTCCTCGTTTGAAAAATATGGACAATAATATTTATCTTTTGGGCCTGTTGTGAGAGTCGAGGAATAATAATAAGCACCCAATAGGCCGTGACCATTTCCTTGCCATATTGGAAAAAGATAAGATGTAATTAAAACAAATATGGCATCCGTGATCATCTTGCTAAACTACCACTATCTTTAGACAACTACTCTACAGTGTGGGATGCCTGCCAACCTACTTTCATATTTGGGTTTCCTCCTGTGCATGCCAGGAAGGCCAACATTGGCCCCTTCAGAGCTTTTGTGAGGAATAAGTCTGACTAAGTGCTTAGCATCTGGCATGTAATAGGGACTCACTCCTTCAAAAAAAAAAAATTCTTATTCAAACTCTAGCTCTGTTAAACCAGACTTCCTGCACAGAGATAGGAGAGCATCCTGCTTTGCTGAATAGTCGGTGGCCATGACTTCTCTTTGGCCTCTTGAAATATTCTCTGCAGAGGAGGAGTCTGGCCTGGCAGTTCAGGTTGGAGATGCTGGAACTCTGCCACTTGCCAGCTATAAAAATGATCTGGGCAACTCATTTACCTTGGTTTCCTTGGGATGGGAATAACAACACACACTCTAGGACCACTTGTGAAGGTTAGACGACGTTTATAAAACATTAGGAAAAGCACTGTGTTTGCTGCCATTATGAATAGACAAATCCTTCCTTACTAGAAGAGGCAGCTCTAAGGCTCTTCCAGACTGGAAATTTGATGTTCTTGATTGTTTTGGGTCCTTTTTCTGGTAGATGGAAAATCGGGAGAGCAGATATTTCAAAGAGCATTTCATAGACTCCTCTGGAACCTGAATTTTCTGGGTCTTATGAAGAGATGTAACTGTGTTTTCATAGAGAGCGAGAAGTAAGCACATGGCTGGGACAGACCCAACAGGCTGCGAAGGGCTTTTCAGGGCCCCAAGTGCCCGTGAAAGCTCTTAGGAAGCAGAGGGGGACAGGTAGCCATGCTGTGGAGGTGGCTGTCCTGCGGCAGCTCAGAGATGACCATCCCCCTCTCCCAGGGAGGAAGCTCACACAGCCTTCAGGACACAGACTTCTTTGGGCCACCTCTCCAGGCAATTGCGGAAGCATCAGGAGAGCAGAGCTGGAAATAGCCATGGATTAATCTGATGTTTTCAGGGGAGGACTCTGAGTGACCTGGGCCTGCAGCTGCCACCCTTTCAGTTGTGCTCTGCAGTGCACAACTAAACACTATAATCAGAAGGCTGACAAGGCCTTGTGTCTCAGGGCCTGCTAGAGATGCTCTTAAGAGAAGCCAGCAGTCACAGACTGATGATTACTTCTTTTTGAAAGGCAGAGCCTCTGGGAGGTGGGGCCTGTGCGGCTCCCAGACCCTGCAGAAGAGAGTTCATGAATATGCAGGCTCATGGTCATCACCGCAGGGATGGGCCTCATCAGCCATGGGCAGCATGAAGCTGCACAGGGATGGCAACCGGTTAAGCCCTGTCCCTGCCCATGGGGTTGGGTGGCCACAGAGTAAAGGAGGAGGTTGTGTCATTATGATTCCCACGACAGCAGCCAAATCACAACTCCATTCACCTGGCTCCCAAGCCGGGTTAGTTTAGGGTGTCTTAGGAAACAGGTATATGTCAAACGGGGCAGAGGCCAATCTTGGCCCATGGGGTTCAAATCCTGGATCTGCACTTGTGCCATTCGCAAGTGATATAATCTGAGAACTATCCTCCCTTTCAACAATTTCCGGAGGCACAGGCTCAATTTTGTCTTTGGTAATTAATTCTGATTTCCTGCAATGCCTTTGACTCCTCGTACTTAACCTCCCCTGTCAAATGGGGTTATTGGAAGGATCAAATGAGTTCGTGCATGTGAAGTACTTTGCCCATGGTAAGCTCACTCTAAGCGATCAACAAAAGCTTAGTTATTGCAAGCCTCTCACGGGGCTGGATACCTCTCTAGGCCTCACTTACACAATGAGGATAGCAGGTAGAGTGACCTTAGAGGGCTACATGAAGATTCCATAAGCAGAGAACTGGGTTGTGTGCTTTACCCACAGCAAGCTTCCAGCAGCTGAAAGCTATTGTCCTTGTTCAGCTCAGTGTGAGTGCCAACTGACTTCTGCTGCTGTCTAAACGTGCCTGGGATTGTCCTTCAACACAGACTATCCTTCAACACGGAGGAATTGGTCGGGCGTCCTGGGTACAATGGTAGAATTTTCCCATGCTCTATGTCATTTAATCCTCATCCCCACCACTGGGATGTTGCACTGCCTCACCCTAGTAGGCGTAATTCTCAGTGAACACCCATGCCACATACCTTTTGGTGTCGCGCAACATGGCTATAATGTCTACCACATAGGGTCACAGTCAAAGGAAGCCAAGAGACTACAGCCCAAGCTGTAGACTTACTCTCTCTAGAATCCTAGCCTGGCAGTGAAATAATTTTGTGTCATTCAGGTAGCCATGGGGAGCAAAGGCCACTAAGCCCCCTGTTCACATGTGTGGCTTTAGTGGTTTCCATTTTAT